CTGTTTAAAATTATACTTATTAGGGGCAGTTTTCTTATGTAGGTTAGACCAATACTTATCATAACTAAGACTTGAGTTAAGGTTGATTTTAAGGTATTTGTATGAGTTGATTACTTGAAGAATTTTGCTTTTTAATGTTATGACTGGCTCATCACCTTTACCAATATAAATATTTTTGCATATGGAATTGTTGATAAACATTTTATTATTATTGCACTATCCTTGTAGACTATCTGCCACTTCTTGTGGAATGGAAGAGTTATTACCAGTTATGTAAGCTAGGAAATCATCTGCATATTTCTTTAAGTAATGTCCTTCAGGAGGTAGTCATTTATGTCTAGTACATAAATAGATTGGGCCAAGGATGCTTCCTTGTATTCCTCTTGATAAAATATATTTTCATTCAGTCGGTTTGCCGTTAAACTTATCATGTTGTTTATGTTTTGAAAACCTTTTTGCAATCCAGGATGATACATGATGGAAGGTTGATTTTAAGTCTGCGCATAAGGATAATGTGGTCAACGCTTGTCAAATGCTTTTGAAAAATCAATAAATATAGCAGTTAATGAAATACTGTGGTCAATAGCGTATCCCCAGTCATCAATTACTTGTGATATGCTGTCATGACCAGCTAGTATCAATTTGATGCATTTGAGTTGTTCTTTGACGTTATAGAAAGTGAAAAAAGGCTTTCTGGTGGAGAGGTGATTGTTTTTTTGAAATAAGGTGATAAATCAGGCTTCATAATTCGTTGCCAGATTATGTCTGAAAATTGCACAATTAGTTTTGCACCAAATTTAGTATCTTTTGGTAAACTACTGATTGGTATTGATAGTCTGCGGGCATGTGATCATATATTATTTTTACTATTGGTACATTTATATTTATTTCTGTCGTAAAATGCTTTCCGGATACCAATAAATTGAGCAATAATATTAGCCAGGGTGTTATGTTGTTCATAAAGACGAGCTTTGTGTAAACGTTGGCATTGTTTTATGCAGCAAAAGATTTCTGCAGTCATCGATTTTTTGTCACGGCATACTTTAATTGTACTCAGAGGCTGTTGTACATTTTATGCATCAATATAACGTTCTGGAAGCTGAGATTGTTACAAGTGGGTCAGAGTCCAGATTTGCTAGAATACTATGCATGTCAAGTATGGCAGCAACTGTATCTCTAATTTTTCCTGATCGTATAATGCATTTGTATGTGTTTAGGTTTTGGTCAAGTGTTGTTATACATAGATTGGGGAGAAAAAACAATTATAACATTGCAATCACTAGCATTTTTGAAATTCATACTTATTTAAGGATTAGCTTTCAAATCTTGATCAATTGGAGATTTAGATTGACCAATTTTAGAGTTTTGATAATATAATACCTAGGAGCATTTGTTAGTATAATGTTTAGATAGGAAAATTTAGATGCTGTTACTAGAGTTGGGTCATGGTTTATTTGTCATAAGCATTCATTAAAGTCACCAGCTATATAAATTAGAGGTGGATTGTTACTGTAACATTTGGCTACTGGATCTTCTAAGGCGTACAAAAGCTACAAGATGGAGCTCTTCTGACGAGTTGGTTGCAATTCTAGAATGTAAACGGCAGGTATTAGGACACATGAGTATCCACGTGGTAATCTATATGGGCAAGTTCTAGCAATAACTATTTTAAAGTTTCCATGTTTCTTTTGGGATTCATTAATTTGCTAGAGTTGGATGATGAAAGGGTTGGGGGATAGCTCCTGGATGGTATTTGTGGATGGTATTTGTGAGATTGACTATTATCATAACTCCAATTGCCTTTTTTGGTATTTCTTTTTCAGATAAGCAGTTTTTTTTTAGTTTTTTGTTTTAATTATTCACCTTCCCAAGGCCCGAGAGGGCCACTACAGTCAAGGAGGCTACTAATTTTTTTTTTTTTTAATTTTTTGTTTGTTAACCCTGAAACACGAACCTTGACAAGCAAGAGCGCTGCCCGGAGAAATTAAGTTGAGCGCGGTACTTCCAAGGACGTGGTGGGAGTCAAACACCAAACCTCTTGCTTACAAAGCGAGCGCTCTTACCACTACACCACTACCACAAGTTGAGTTCACAGGAGGTTATTAGATACTCGGTACACTCTTGGATAGAACTGATTACAATGTTTCGAGTGGTGGAGGTAAGCCATGTTTCAGTAAGAAATCCAATATGAGCGTTTGTGTCATATATTTGAACTAGGTGATCTACCTTTAAAACGTCTGCTGGTTGTGAGTATAACTGGCATTTGCATTGTGATCATTAGGCTATTATTCGGGGTAAAGGATTTAAATTGATGTTACAAGGGATTTGTAGATCTTTTATTGAATTAGAAGAAATAGCTGTTTGCTGATAATATGTAGGAGGTACATAAACAGTTTGAGTTTGTCTGGTTAGTCAAAATGCTTTTGGTAGATTAGATACTTCTTTGATACTGTGATAGCAAGAGAATAAATTAGAGTTTGAGGCGTAAAAGTATCTTTTTTCATTTCTAGAAAAAATGACATTGATGCAACAAATGACTTTTGTTTGTTTGTGGATGACATTCAGAAATAGCTTATCTAGGATATCGCTTTCCTTCAATTGATCATTATGCTT